CACCCTCCTCCCCCTCCTCCTCCTCCCACCCCCGTCCCGGCTCATCCCCCTCCAAAACCAGTCACTCCACCACCAAAGCCAGTAACTCCACCACCAAAACCAGTCACTCCTCCACCAAAACCGATCACTCCTCCACCACCAAAGCCGGTCACTCCACCACCTAAGCCGGTCACTCCACCACCAAAACCCGTCACTCCACCACCAAAGCCGGTCACTCCACCTAAGCCAGTCACTCCACCACCAAAACCAGTCACTCCACCGCCAAAGCCGGTCATTCCACCTCCAAAGCCGGTAACTCCACCGCCAAAGCCGGTCACTCCACCTCCAAAGCCGGTCACTCCACCACACAAACCGTACACTCCACCACACAAACCGTACACTCCACCGCCAAAGCCAGCAACTCCTCCACCGAAACCGGTTACTCCGCCGCCGGCTAAGCCGCCGGTTCACCCGCCAGTTATTCCAAAAAGGAGCTTCGTCGCAGTACAGGGCGTTGTTTACTGCAAGTCATGCAAGTACGCCGGAGCTAAAACACTCTTAGGAGCCACTCCCGTCGCCAGTAAGCCTTTTGTTTTTTTCTCCTTTAAATACAATCTTGCATGCATGCTTCTGTAATCCTATACTATTAACAAACCAACAATGGCGTTTTTTATTTTGTTTTGTTTTTTGTTTTTTGAAGATGCTACGGTGAGGTTGGTATGCAAGAACAGGTACAAAACCGTGGACTACGCGAATACTGACAAGAACGGCTACTTCTACCTGATCGCAAGAGATATAGTGACCAGCTACGGGATCCGCGGTTGCAGGGCGTCGCTGCTCTCGTCGCCGCTGCCCCACTGCCAGAGGCCATCCCTCCTCCACGACGGCTTAAACGGCGCCATCTTAAGGTTTGAGAAGAGCTTCGTCTCCGGCAAAAAACCATTCTCTCTCTACACTGTCGGCCCATTTGCCTTTGAGCCCAAATGCCCCCGCACTAATTGAGAAACCAATTATGTCCATAGATCTTATATATTTGTGTGTTCAAAATCATGGAGTTAATTATTCCTAGGATTTCGCGTTTTGTTTACTTGTTAGTGGGCCAGGGTGTTGTTTCCTTTAAAATTTGTGCGTCGTAATGTCAAATGTGCGTGACTTGAGATGGTGTTAGTCGATCTTTTGTTACTTGTTACTTCATGTGTTGCAATAAAGATTTTTATATTTAACAATAAATTAATTATCAAATGATGGGGAATTAAGAGAATTAACTAGTTTGGCGTGTAGTGGAAAGGGAGAGTGATAAATTCAACGGTCGTAATTGTACTGGCACTGCATGTTTGTCATATGGCAGACATAAATAGTTCAGCCTTTTGCAATTCATGCAGTAAAAAAGAGTACTAAAACTTCCCTCCTTCATTGGATCCTCTGTCCGCCTCTTTCGGTTTAAATATCAGAAATAGTAAGAAATTGGCTAATATAAAAAGTTTAAAAAAATATATATGTTAATTTTTAATTATAAAAGTTAATAGGTTATAATTTATAGATTTATAATTAGATAAATTATAAATAAAAATAGTAATTTAATTTATTTATTAATTTATATAAATTATTAATTTTAATTCATCTTAAATTTTAATCTCTTTTCTCTTTCTCTCTTTATCAAATTTTAATCTATTTTTCTCTTTCTCTCTTTAAATATTATGGCGCTGATGGTTTTTTGGCCATCATAAAATATATTGGTATGGGCTGGCTATGTTTTAGGCCTTTTAAAAAAAAAAAACGAGTTTCTCTTAAATGAACAGTGACGTGTTTTCGACCACTAGATTTGTAATAAAAATGGTCTGATTTTAAGCAAATTAAATGGTTGAAAATTGACCCTATCCATAAGGAGGTCTAAGAGAACCTCTCTTATCTTTTGCATTAAAATATAGCGAAAGTAACTCTGGGATTTACTGTATGTGGCGAGTTGAGCACAGTTGTTTCAAGTATGTATATATACATATATATATATATATATTTATCCATAAGGAGGTCTAAGAGAACCTCTCTTATCTTTTGCATTAAAATATAGCGAAAGTAACTCTGGGATTTACTGTATGTGGCGAGTTGAGCACAGTTGTTTCAAGTATGTATATATACATATATATATATATATATATATTACTTTTTTTTAAAGTTAATTTTTAAAGGTGGGGAACTACCTAGCTAGACATAATAATTATGCTATGTTTAGTAGGATGAATAGAAAAGATAAAAGAAAAATAAAAAAATATCTAGATGAGGAAAGTAAAATAATTTTCTCTCATTATTTGATAGAACAAAAAGAAAAGTGAAAAAAATTATTAAATTTAAGGCATTTTATAATAATACCTTAATATAAATGAAAATATGATGATTGGTGAATGTTAAAATTATTATTTTATATCTCATTTTTTTGTTAAATTTTTTCTTTCCTCTTTTTTTCCCAAAGTTGAAAGGATTAAAAATTCGTGGGCTCCATAAATTTTTATTTTCATTCATTTCTCATTTTTTCTCTATCAAACAACTTAAAATTTTATTTTTCTCTATAAAATCCTTCATCTATTTTCTTTTTTTTCTCTTTTTCACCTTACCAAATACACTGTTAGTGTCTGTCACGTGGTGGACATCATGAGATCGGCATTATCACTGTGTAACTTCTGGGCTCGTTCAGTTCGCTAATTTGAGTTTTTAATTCGAGTTGAAATGTGATGTTGTGTAATAACTTTTTACTGTAGCAAAAAAGTTAGACGTAACTGTTTCTGAGAGCATTTTACTATAATAAAACTCAAATTTTAAACTCGAATCAGCGAAAAGAACAGAACCTCGGCTTCCAATATTATCGTAACAATACGAGAGGGAAGCGATTCAAAAATGAATGAGAAGGAATAATGTTTGGTTTGCTATTAGAGGCTCGTGATGTTTTCTGAAAGAATATTGATTATCAGACTGGACATAGATGTGATACAAATGCTACTATATAGCACCGCAGGCATTGAGTGACTTCGAAACACATTTTGTGTGAACCTTCAGTTTGCAGTATTGCTTTAATTTTGGAGCTGGGAATCTATAGAAAGGGGATTGAAAAAGAAACACGGGAGATCTAAACCCCGTTCATTTCGCTGATTCGAGTTTTTTTACGGTAAAAAGCTCTCACAAACAATCACATCTAACTTTTTTGCTACAGTAAAAAGCTCTCACATAAAGTTACATCTCAATTCGAATTAAAAACTCGAATCAGCGAACTAAACGGACCCCTAATTTGTCATTTTCTTTTTATGGCTTTCTGGGTGTCAGAATAAAATGGGAGAATTTAATGAGTCACTGGCGAAGGATGTTAGAGTGGAATATTTTCTTAGATCGTGAATTTGTCTCGCATCACTAGTGGATGTTTGGTTTATGTATTCAGAATCATGATTCAGAACTATTCTCGTTTTACGTGTATTTTTTGTGAGAGAAAAACACTGTAGAGAACTATGAATTATGATTCAGAATCAACGATGAATATAGGAAACAAACATCCTATATTGAACCGCTAGGATGTTTATATGTGGTTTGGGACCCTCAGTTTTAGCTAATTTTTAGGGATAAATTATATTCAAAGCTCATTTTTAACATTATATCAATGCCAAATTTTGTACGCGATGGTGGGTTTTGAGTTTGGATTGTGACATGTATGCTAAGCATGAGGGAGGGTGTTATTTAGGGTAAAACATAAGGGGGATAGGGTGGCGGAAACAAAACTAGAATGTTTCAAATTTGAAATTGCATGGCTTGCATAAACGGATGACAAAAAGTTATGGATTGAATTTTGTACCTTTTTTTGGAACATGTCACGTCAACATATTTAGAATACTAAAAATAATCAATCTATATCATTATCCTATATGATACTTGAAGATAGTCCAGTGTGAGGATGAAGATATCAGTATCAGTAAAAATATCAGTACTCTAATTTTACAGAAATATCAAAGAAAATATCAATATCGATGAAAATGTCAGAAAAATTTACGGAAATGACGAAAATTTACGTTAGAACATATTTTTAATACTTTCTGATAGCATCAACATTAAAAAAATACATAAATAAACAAGTTGTACATACAAAAAAAACTCATACATATTACATTTCTTAATACTAAAAGAATGTTTTATGAAGCTCAAACGTGGTCGAGATCAGATCTTCATTCAAACAATATTGATATTATGAACGTGCCATATGAAGGTTTATTGACCCCTTCACATTGTATTTTTATGAATAAAAAACTGTGAATTCCCCTAATCATTTGCCTAAGAAGGTGGTGGTATGTTCGGATGAGGATAATTTAAAAATTTCATACCTATCATAGTTTTCAAAATTATGATTGTATGGATAATGAACATTAGGAGTCTCTTGGAAGAGCTGCAATAATTGGAAGCCAAATTCATCAGTTGTAAACTCATAGAAAGATTATCTTCATCATATGTTTTCATTGTTGATATTTCTCGCTTTCCTTGCTCGATGACAAAAGAAATAATGCAAGAAAACATATATTATAAAGTAATTTTTTTATAAAAAAGCTTTCAAAATTTCTATTTCCGATATCACCGAATTTTCACTGAAATTTCTGCGAAATTTTCCGATATTCTGTCACAATTACTCTATAAGCAAATCGATATCGATATTTCAACTGATATTTACTATTATTTCTGATATTTTGCCGATATTGATATTATAGTGGAAAAAAATTTCGGAACGCTTAAAAATCTTCGGCGAAATTTTTGTCCATGGTCCAGTGAGATATCAAAAATTTCAGTGGGTGGCTATTGCCGACCATGCTACCAATGGTATCCAATCGTGAGACTTGGGGATAGTTGCTGTGTACGGAAAATTCCAACCAGCGGTCAACAGTCATGCTACTGGTGGTATCATACTGTGATACTAAGAAGTAGTTCACCCTGATGCTGGCAAATGTTGGCATGCGCCTTCTAACTTCCTTTTCTCAGGGTGAGCTGGGCCAGTTTGCCTTTCGCACCTTTAGACCACTATCACTTTCAAAAGCCCATTTTGTGTGGCTTTAACAAATTGACGCATCTTTTCAAAACTAAACAGCATCCAAGCACAAATATGAGTATCAGAGCATTAAACATGACGTTCGTCCATTTTCCTAACGAGAAAATTATAAATTATACCTTTTAAATTCTATTTTTTAAGGGTTGTTTAGTTCGCTGATTCGAGTTTTTAATTCGAATTGAGATGTGACTTTATGTTAGAGCTTTTTACTGTAATAAAAAAATTAGATGTGACTATTTTTAAGAGCTTTTTACTGTAAAAAAACTCGAACTCTAAACTCGAATCGGTAAAATGAACGAGATCTAAGTACACAACTTACTAAAAGTATCATTTTTAAAAAAATTTATCCCTTAACTAATTTTAATTTAAAAGACAAAAAAATATATGAGCTAATATTAAGGGATAGAACTAAAAAAGAGCTCCATAGGTACTTTTAAAAATTACCCTTTTCTAATTAGATGGCTCATTACTCTGTCGCAACAGGAATGACTTGTTTGACTGAAATTACTCGCGCTTCTAAATAAGAGAATATTTTTTTCGTTAAGAAGAGAATATTCTAAATAAGAGAATAAAGTATCTTTTTTAAAATTAAATTTTACTAATAAGTTTTTTAAAAAAAAATTAAGAATGAGGAATTTAAACTCTAGACCTAAGAACAGAATGAGACGGAGTCATGAGATAAAACTTTTTCACCGGAATATGCCCACAACTTACTTTTGATTTCATTCTATGAAAAATTTAAAAAACATTTTATGTAACTTGCTTTGAGACGTGAAGAAAAATGCAAGAAATAGATAGAGTTCTCGGAAGAAATCAATGGTTTAGTCGATTGGGATTTGAGGAAAATTCAGCGTTTTCTTAGCTCGATTTAGCGAATTTTGTTATCCAATTTGGTTTACTTCAAAAGGTTGTTTTAGTCTTTTCACAACACAATTTTGAAGCAAAAAAAAAGAGAGAGAAAATTTCAATTTAACCATTATTTTTTTCAACTCTATTATTTATGCAACTGCATAAAATTTTGATGTCAGAAAATAACCTATAGGTTATGGAAGATAACCTGCAAGTTACAAAAGATAACCTATAAGTTACGAAAAGTGTTCAAGTATAAAACTATTGTTGGCCCACCTCCTAACAACTTAAGCTTTTGGAATGGATTGGTAAA